TTCTCCAAGTTTGGAAAATTGTGATTCTGCAATTACACATTTATTAGAAGTTATGGCCATCATGGGGGTACCTGTACAAATTTAGACTGACAATATGCCAGCATATGTCTCCAGTAAAATAAAACAGTTTTTTGTACATTACAATATAAGACATATTACAGCCATACCACACCATTCTACATGGCAAGCAGTCATAGAAAGATTGAATTGTACTTTAAAAGATAAACTTAAAAAACAGAAAAACCACAGAGGTAGATTATACAGTGTTTTATTAAGTTAAGACATTTTAAATGCTAGTAAGAAAGTAAAAACAGCTATAGAGAGACACTGAATAGTAGAATAAAACTGCTGAATTAAATCATCTTGTATATCCTAAAGAGGTATTGACCTCAAAATGGAAACCCGGATATGTGTTATGCTAGGAAAAAGTTTTGCCTTTCTTTCCACAAAAGAAGAAAAGCTGTGGATACCATCAAGATTGAAAAATATTAGATTTGAACAGGAGAGACTTTATGCATATGGAGAGAAAATAGTTCATCAGACAGCTTAGTAATTCAGTTGAAACTAACTAATAAAGACAAGCAGATAGCTTTTATTCAATCAGACATGAAAAAATAAAAATAAAATAATATTTTCAAATGATAATTTACCAAAGGCACACAAACCTTACAGCCATGAATGGAAAAATAGGTTTTCTTAACCCATGTGTCTTAATTTCATGTCAGAATATTAGATGGTAGATTGACACATGGCCCATGCCATCCTTGACATGAGCTTTTGAGTTTTCTTAAATAAAAAGCATATTTTTGGTTTTTTGGTATTAAAAAAATTAAGAGATTTAAATTCTTTTAAGTAAATTTAAAGATTACTACAGTTCAAACACGTTTTCTACATCTGTAAGTGATTTGGAGATAAGATAAAATATTTGAGCATGGCAGTGGTAGCTCATGTCTTTAATACCAACAGAGACTGGTTCATCTCTCTAAGTTAGTTGTTTTCTAAATTCTAGGCATAGAGTGAACAAGGTGGGGGAGGGCAAGGATTTTATCCCAGCACACCCAGGGACAAACATCAGATACAGTTCCTAATTGGTATGTTTGTGCACTAGAAAAAGCACATGCCATATTTACAGATTATTATAAAAAGCCCCCTACGGAGTTACTAGAAAGGCAGCTAATTTCCACTGAGGACAGGAAAAAAAAGAGCAGCTTTTCTAAGTGCTGGAAGATCTTCACTCATGCAACCCTGGCCAGTATTAAACACGATGATACTCTGATTATGGATATCACATGTATTGGTGCATTGGCAACTGGAAATTTCTCATGAAGCAAAAAGCAACCCACCAACACTTTTTTGTTGGCTTCTATTGCAAATGTTTTCCATATATGGAGAAAATGTATTTGCTCTTTGAGATGAGGCATGGAGTACCTTATATTCAGCAATTGTCAACCACACTATGGTTATAGGGTGTCCTTACAATGATGAATAGGATTTATTCTTAGGCAGAATTTTTGCAAGCTCAGCGATGCAAAAGTATTTCAGTGGAACAGGTATCTATCTGGATTTCTTTATCACCAGGATGTGTCAAGAAAGAAGTTTGTGTCCTCCCACACTGAGCACTGAGGTAATAGCTCAGTTGCCTGCATTCCTCATCCCTAAACCAGGAACCCCTTCCTCAAAATAGACACCTATTGGACTGTGGGGATCAATGAAATGGTCACAACATTTGGCTAAGGCATGGTTTATCAACCACTGATAGAACCAAAATTAATGAAAAATTGTAGCCCATACAGAGGAAGGTGAAATGGCCAATACAGAGGAAGAAACCACAAAATCAACACAACACACTGAAATAATAGAAGGACTTTTGCCTATAAGAGAAACAAATAGAAAAACAAAAGGAAAAACCTCTATTTTCTCCAATTCATGATGCATGTGCAATGGTATGGATATGTGATCATCAAAATAGAAAAGCACTAACTGGCAGATAAAGGGCAAGGATATCTGGTCATGGGAGGCATGAATAGAAATGGCACACCCTAGCAAAACTTAGCAAAGACGTCAAGTTTTATATAGCTCACAAAAGCAATATCAACATAATGTTTGAAAATAATGAAATAGTTGACAGAGTTTCATCATATTAATTAAATCTATCACATTTGAATTTTCTAGGGAACAAATTCAAAATAAATCTTTAAGAATGATAGATTACTCATTAGAGAAAGTTGGCAGTTTACCCTTAACACTGAAATATAGGGGAAATGGAAAAGCAAATTAAACAAGGACAACTTCATGAGAATAAATATTTTAAGGACACCATAGGTAGGCAGTGGTCAATTTCATTAATCCCAACACTAGGCAAACAGAAGCAGGCACATAAGAATTATAGTGTTTTAAATTTAAAACCCACTGTTAAAAGAAGGCTGAAATTCAAAGTAAATGTCCACTGTGGTCTCTAAATAAATACTCTTAAACCTTGACCATATATATATATGGGGGGTTTGGGTGTGGGGGTGTGTTTCTGTGCATACTTATGGTATGTTTAGTTTCAAACTTTCAGAAGAATTTTTCTGATTGAAAGATAATACATTTTCTGTTGACAAAATCATTTTGTCCTAGAAAAGATATAATATCCAAAAAAAAAAAAAGAAACTCCCCAGAGTTAGGGTTGGGGCAGGATTTTGCTTTTGTCATTCCAGATAAAAATAAGAAATCCAGAAAAATTAGAGATGTTTCACTGAACAAGTGAATCATCAAGGAACAAATCCCAAGAAAAGGAGTAGATTGGCCAAATGGTATCATCCACCAAACTCCAGCTGATTGGCCTGAAATCCCAGCTCAGAGCCCGAGATGAACACTGGCACCCATGTCACTATGTTGCCTGAGTGCCCGCCACTTCCTATGGAGGACCACATGATGCTGAATGCTATGTTCTACCTTGCATTGTCACTAAGCTGACAAACACCAGCCATAGGTTCATCTTTTGCCTACAAACTGCTCAGAATAGTCTAATAGTTGAGTCATATGAGGATAATATAAACACTTTATATTACTTTGAACTCAGAAATACTTAATCCTTATACTGCCAAATACAACCAAGTTAGACACTGTGGAAATCTTGTCAGGAATAGCTTCATTATTGTAAATAGTTTTAGTGTGTAGAGTTCAAACCTTTCCTTTTCATTTAGCAAATGGAAGACAAGTTTCAGGATGTTTGATCACATTCTGGACTCTAAGGTTGTGTTATTTATTAGAAAAACCTATTTCTAGTTGTAGTATCCCTTGGCCAGTGCAAACGCCTTTAATCCAAGAGCTTTCTGCTTATTGTAAACAGGATTAAATTAAAAACCAATTCTACAGGTCAAGAGGCAGAGCAATCAACCCTTTGACAGGAAGTAATCATAGATAGTAAGAGGGAGTCAGAAGGACAGATAGAGAGATATACAGGAAGTAGAATGGAGGGGAACCGTGCTCGAGGATTCTTGTTTGAGACACCACAGGAAGTAAGAGAAAGCCCCTTTTTCTGGGGAATGGGCAGAGGAGGAATGCCAACGAGGTGATTTTTTTGCCTCTCTGAACAAGCATGTTTCAGCATAACATCTGGCTGCTGAGTCTTTATTGGAAAAGTGAAAGGATTGGGATTTAAAAAAAACAAAAACAAAAAAAAACGAAAACAATATACAGATGAATCTAATTTCATGAAATAAATTCAACCAAATTTACAAGCAAAAATTGAGCCCAGTTTGGTGAAGTCCATAGGCAGACACTCTACTTTGCTGCCTTCTTCCAAGGCTTTCCAGATATGAATGCTCTTTGCTGAGACAGCTATGATCTGGTCCTCACTTCTCCTCCCTCCATCTCCTGCTGTGGAACTCCTGAAGTCTGAGTACTTTAACCCTGCTCTCCAGCCCATGGACTCTACTGTTAGAGAATCCCTGCCCTGGCCCAGCCCTGGCACTTCCCTTTGGGTCACAACTGAGACAGCCCTAAAGTTGCAGTCTGTGTGCTCCTGTCCCTGGTCATCTAAGGTCTGTTCTAGGAGACCAGTACTACCTTCAGGACCAAACTGACACACTAATGAACAATAAACTATTGCTTTCTATTCCTGGCTCTTATTTCAATCAAACTACACCCAAATCTTTGACGTTGACAATCAGACTAAAACAAATGAGTAGAACCGTTCAGCATTGTTTCTATGTTGGCTGAAGCTGAGTTGGAGAAGCATCAGGAAGATGCCCTGATTCCTAGACCCAGTTATTACCACTTAAGATGGTTGTCATTCTCCTTTCAAATATTTTGAGAAGATAGGCAGAAATAGTGCCTAAACTCTGGGTGGAAGAGATATCAGAATTTCAGATAAATAGAAGTATCTGTCTTGAGATTCTTTGGAAGTTGACTATTCTATTCTCTTGGTTTAAAATTCATATTTACATAATAGACTTAAATAGTTTTTTTTTCTGAAAATATACATAAACCCCATGAAGCATATAATAATACTCTCTTGATGGATAACATTTTAGTCATATACTTCAATCATAGGCAATGCTCATATTTATGAGCCTTATTTGCATTCAAATTACACTCTTGCAATTACTAACTACTACAAATAAGGAGTATTCCACCAACCAAATTAATTATTCTCAAACATAAATTGCATAAATTTTGATCTTTAATTAAATCCCATGTATCCATAAACACAAACATAATAACAATATCATAATAGTAAGAACAATGAATTAAGGCCTCAGATTGCATAAATTTATTGAATTAAAATTTTAGTTTTCAAATATGTTTGAATGAACAGCAAAAAGCAGAATATCAATAGCACAAAATTTAAGGCATAATATGGGATTACACATTAAGATTCTAACAGAACTTGAGAATGAAATGATTGTTAGTGGAAAGACATATGGTAGAAGATGAGAATAATAGATCTTCTACAGGACATAGAGAATTTGATTTTGGTATTACAGGAATATAGGGACTTAGCAGTCAAATTCCTAGAAGGCAATGCCATAGATTGATCTATAACAAGAAGGTTGGAATGTTGCAGAAGCCAAGTATTCTGGGTAGTAGAATCCAGACCCATAACACAGGGAAGGGAAGCCATAGATTCCACCATTCAGGGATTTGAAACCACTGGATCTACAGCCCCTTGAGTAGCAGCTTCTAGATCCATAGCCCAGGGCACGGCAGCTCTTGGATCCAAAGCCCAGAGATCCAGCATATGTTCCCTGGCAGGGACTGCAAGGTGTGGAGCTCCTCGGGTAGTAGCAGGCTGTCTGGCAGGGTCTGGACACCACACTGGACCTCTGGCATCTGGTGGGCTCAATGCAGGTCTCCTGACACCTGGTGTTCAGAGAGGATTCCACCTGGCAGGGTCTGGGAAAGCAACTGGTAGTGGTGTAAACCAAGTTGCTGGGGTAGGAAGAGCCACAGGAGGAAGGTGAAGAGGGCAGGCAGGGCCTAAAGGAACGGGAGGAGAAGTTTCCAGAGCAGCAGCTGTAGGTCATGTTGAGACGCGATGTGAGCTCAGCTGGATATGACTGAGAGGTTTCTGAGTTCACCCTGTGGAGAGCTGGGTTTATATACTCTCAGCAACAGGTGTGGTACCCTACTGTCTCATCTTCAATGAATCTATGTGCTTCCTGGTTTAGAAATGTGCAGTTGCATATGAATAGTTTTCTGAACAGTGTATTTATGGGTGTTGCAATTGTCTTATAGTTATGATGACAAGCTATTGCTATGTCATAGATGCTATGACTGTTTTTCACTGATACTTATTATGTTCAGGATAATTTCTCCTTATTCCTCTTTTCCTGACTTGTATGTGTTTGTCAGAATATTCTGAAGATTATACTTTTCTTCCACAGTTTGCTCCTATCATTTGTTAATGAATTGGAAGCATCACTTATGTTCCCTTTGAAGCCTACTGAAGTAACCTTATCTTCTACCATCATTTCTCATTTTCCAATATTATTTGTGAGTGCGTAAAATTTCCCATAAACTTCACCACCACTACCCCAGGCAGAATAGGAGCACAGTAAATTGAATGAGATCAAATGTAAGATGTCAGAAAGAAAAAGCAGTGAGTGATTGCAACTGTGGTGAGAACAAAGACGGCACTGAGGCAGAGTCACAAGATCAGGGCATTTGGCCCCCATGAATAGAGTCAAAGAAATGAGAGAAGTAAACTATTTCATAGCCTGTGTATCTATCATCTGACCTGAGGTCATAGAGTTCTCATCTGAGTTCGCGCAGTATGGACTAGTCAGTTTTAACAATTTAAAGCACAGGAGGTCCGGGTGACTAATGTCCTCTACACTGTGGGTTCTGTAAAGACCTTGGTTTGCAAGAACGGAACCCAGGCAGTGACTGAGTCTGGGGGAGTAACATACCTAGAAGATTCCAATGGCGAACTATAACCCAGGGTGCAGATCACCAGCCCTAATCAAACACCAAGAGGCTACGTGGCTGTTGGTGGACTTTTGCTTTTTCTTGGAACCTAATATTTATTGAGACAATTGATGCTAGAGCTGAGAAATTAGCTGTAATTAAGAAGAAATCAGAATCACTGAGGTGAAATCTTCAAGAGCATTTCCTAGATGACTGTGGTCTAGGGGAAGGTGAGACTGCATCTCATGCTGGTAGCTGAACTTGCTAATGTAAAGAATTACCCATATGGTACTGGTTTTGAATACATGAAAGGGTCATGGAGAGCAGCAAGGGCTTGGTACTGTGTAGCAGGACTGGAATCCCAGAAGAAAGACTAGAAGAAACCATTAATGAAGGTACAACATTAGTTGTATTGGAGACCCTAGCATATGGAGGCAATAGGACCATGGGTAGACCACCAACAATGGTCACAGCTGTAGAGGAGAATCAGTCTGAGTCCTTGAGATGATCTACAGGACTGTGGAAAACATAGCTGGGGAAGTGGAGCTGCCCAAGGCCATTTGAGCCCAGAAATTCACGAGTCCTAAGCATTAGACATTGAGTTATTTATACTTCTGAGATGACTTGGGTTTTTACATTGATTATAACTGTGCCCTGGTTCTTTCCTATTGCAATATAAAGTACAAAACTTCTTCTGATTTTACAGGAGCCTACAATTAATAAACTTGAAATCATAACGAGAGTGAACTTTTAAAGTATTTGAATTTTTAAAGAATGTGAGACTCTTAAAAGTTGAAATGTATTTTATATTGTGATATAAAATATGCTATCTTGGGGATAAGCTAGAAAGGGAAGGTTAATAGTAATTGTGTGACAAGCTGAGAAGTGGTGAGTGGTCCTGACTAGTTTTCCTTCTTCTTCTTCTTCTTGTTCTTCTTCTTGTTCTTCTTCTTGTTCTTCTTCTTCTTCTTCTTCTTCTTCTTCTTCTTCTTCTTCTTCTTTTCTTTGTCAACTTGATATCAGTTGGCGATATATGGGAAGCAGAACTTCAGATGAGAAAGTACTCCTATCATATTGGCCTGTAGGCAAGTCTATGGATCATTTTCTTAATTAATGACTGATGTGGAAGGCTCCATCCCACTGTAGGCAGTGACACCACCACCAGGCAAATAGTACCTGGTGGTAGAAGATAGCAAACTGAGCAAGACTTGAGAAGCGAGTCAGTAGGAAATAATCCCCCATGGCCTCTGTAATCCCAGCCCCCGGCTATGCTGCCAAAACTTGGCCCCTTACCAGGAAAGGTCAAAAATCACTCTCACAGGCTATTTAAACTGCACCCCAGAAAATAAAAGTAGTCTTCCCTTTCAGAAAAAAAAGAAAGAAAAGAAAAACAAATGCAAGAAGTCTCAACGTATCTAATCTTATATAGCTTTGAAAATAAAAATGATGCTTGATAGATATCAAAGAATTCTGATACATGTTTAGTCTTCAACATGTCAAACAGAGTTGAGAAAGAAAAGTATTTCAATTGTTTGCTTATTTGTAAAATCTCAGAGTTTTATTTTGCAAGCTGTGTGCAGGCTACATGTAAATAAGATCTACGAAGCCCACCTCTGTTGCTCTCACACGTACTAAAGAATATATCCAAGAGTAAAAATAATATAGAAAGACAGTTTGTAAAATATTCTCAGATGAAAGGACATGTTGATGTATCAATTTCGATGCTTATGGTTTTTGTTTCAAATCATGTTTATTCATGGCAATGCAATGTTTTCTATAGATATACCTAAAAATTAGCCTAAAGTGCTAATTATAATTAAATATAATCAAATTATAAGTTAAAAGACAATGAAACCAAGACATATTAATAAGGATAGGACAGACAGGGGTGAAAGTAGTTATTGATGAACTATGGAAAACCTTGGTTTCCAATGTTACTTGGGATACACATTTTATTTTCAGATTTACTATTTCTATTTTCCATGTTAATCTTTGGAATGGTGCCATTTGGCTGACAATATCATCAGGTAATATATGTAGCACAATCTCAAGACGTGCTCACAGAATTTTCAATCTGATATCAAGGTGTGTGACCTTTGTCATCATGTTGACAACAGTCGTAAAGCTTTGAATAGTTTATTGGGAGTCTTGGACCAGATTATGAAATTGTTGAGTTGTTGGAGTTATGCTTTTGACAAACTTTCTATGTCCAATATGAAGTTGATTTTACATTCACTTAGGTGATATTATTTTCCACTAGTAGACTGGTGTGTTATTTGCTATGGCTGAAGATTGTTTCATTTCTCCTTTAGGTAAAGGTATAAAAAAATACCATTTAAAATGATTTAAAACAATTACATTTCTATGCACAAAACTAAAATATCAATACATTATCTCCTCTACTAAAATAAGTGAAAATTTTAAAGCATTCTCATTTCATTTTTACTCATAAGAATTGTACAATTGCGATATGAGAAGAAGGTCAAAATTACCTAAACAAACTTTATTTATTTATAGACTACATATAAGCTCCAAAGTGAAACTTTCATTCCTTTCTTTTGTTATTAATTAAATTATTATTTAAAAATTTTATGAAATATATTTTGATCATTTTCATTCCCCACCTACAAACAGATCTGCCCTATTCATCTAACTTCAATTTCTTTTTTCTCTCTCTCAAAATGTAAATGTGAAGAAAAAATATAAAGTATATATGCAACTGGATGAAATTTTCTTATCATCCTCACTAAATATGGCCAGGAAAAAGACTCCATCTGAATTATTTAATATTTCACCACTGATTTTATTTATTTGTTTGTTAGTTTGTTTGTTTTCCAAGACTGGGATTCTCTGTAGCTTTAGAGCCTGTCCTGGAACTACATTTTGTAGACCAGGCTGGCCTCATACTCACAGAGATCATCCTGCCTCTGCCTCCCAAGTGAAACTGATTTTGTTTTTAAGTAGTATAAGCATGATTTGATGCACTCAGGTTTTGCACATTGTTTTTGATCTTCAGGCTCTTCACCTTTGAGAAGACTCAGGACCAAGTGACAAAGTCAGAGACCTAAGCAGTGAAGTGATTGTGGCTCAGCCTCATTTCTGTTACTTAAGATCCGAAAAACTCCAATCACTGTTTTCCTTTCTTTATTCCTGGATTCTATATAATTTGATATTTCCTGACTTATGTTGTTCCCATGATACAAGAACTCAATCATATAGAGAGTGTGATGCAACCCACATACAGTATTTGAAAATAAGAAGGATGGACAAGTAAGGTCCAACTTCAGGAGGTTCCATAGGAGGTTTCAGGAGGAAACACAATATAATGATTCCAATTCATTATTGGAACATCAAATTACTGTCATGCCAGACAATGAGGAGAAAAGTATTTCCCTTGTAACATTCTATGATGAAACACATAAATGTTATGCCAAGAGGAAAAGGAGCGATTTCTTTGCAGGACGTGATAAATTAGTCATTACTGCAAAAGAGTCACGACACGATTGGCACAGCAGTGGCTCAGCATCTTTTACTTTAATAAAACGACAACACCCACAACCATGATGTGCAGAAAAGTATGCAAATGCAATTATAGAGATTACTTAGTTTCATATCTGTAAACCAGGAAGCAAACAAATATGTCAGGATAGCCCTGTTGGGTACCACACCTGTTGCTGAGAGTATATAAACCCAGCTCTCCACAGGCTGACATTTAAACTCAGAATCCTCTCAGGTACATCCAGCTGAGCTCACATCTCCTCTCAACATGGCCTACACCTGCTGCTCTCGAAACTTCTCCTCCAGCTCCTTTAGGCGCTGCCTGCCCTCTTCAAGTTCCTCTTGCAGCTCTTCCTATCCCAGCAACCTGGTCTACACCACTACCAGTTGCTCTCCCAGCACCTGCCAGGTGACATCTTCTCTGAACACCAGATGTCAGGAGACCTGCATTGAGCCCACCAGCTGCCAGAGGTCCTGCATGATGTCCAGGCCATGCCAGGTGGAATCCTCTGTGAACACTGGCTGTCAGGAGACCTGCATTGAGCCCACCAGCTGCCAGAGGTCCTGCGTGGTGTCCAGACCCTGCCAGACAGCCTGCTACTACCCGAGGAGCTCCATATCTTGCAGTCCCTGCCAGGGAACATATGCTGGATCTCTGGGCTTTGGATCCAGCAGCTGCCGTTCCCTGGGCTATGGATCTAGAAGCTGCTACTCAAGGGGCTGTGGATCCAGTGGCTTCAGATCCCTGAATGGTGGAATCTATGGCTTCCCTTCCCTGAGTTATGGGTCCAGATTCTGCTCCCCACTGTACTTGCCTTCTACTGTATTTCAACCTTACTGCTATACCTCAGCCTGTGGATCTTGCCCTTTTGGATACAGCTGTTAAATCTCTGTAGTCCTGCACTATCAATGTGAAGGTCTCAGTGTCTTGGAGCTGCTGTTTCTAAATTCACCCCTCCCACTTTATCTGCATGTTCTCCCAACTACTTGTCTTGTCCTCAACTTGTGCCAGATTCTCAGATTAAGTATAATTCAAAAATTTGCTTTAAACTGGGCGGTGGTGGCGCATGCCTTTAATCCCAGCACTCGGGAGGCAGAGGCAGGCGGATCTTTGTGAGTTCGAGGCCAGCCTGGTCTACAAGAGCTAGTTCCAGGACAGGAACCAAAACCTACGGAGAAACCCTGTCTCGAAAAATCAAAAAAAAAATTGCTTTACTGTCTGTACTCTCAAATATATACTTGGTTTTCATCCAAGAGTATATAAAATTGAAAACTTTAATCAAATAAAACTGATTTGTGCAATCAATCTGACCTCTCAATTTATTATTATATTATTATTTTTAATAGTTTAAATTAAGTATTTGGAAGTCTTATATAATAACCAGCAGGACTATTTGTCTGGATTCATAGTGCTCCTTTTGTGCACAGGTATGAGTTGTTGGGAATAGTCAGTTCTGGGAAGACATTCATTGACATCTGCAAACAGGGCTCAAACTGCAGTGAGAATGGCCCCAGGTTGAAGGACATGAATTCCTACTGAGCCAGAAAGGAAAGGATAGTATCAAGAATATTATATTCTATAATTTAAATGGTGAAATTTGTACAAAGGCAAAAATTTATGTTGCTCTAGAATATGAATGTAGATTTTTAGACAGCAGACAACATGAGTTTTAAACAGATCTCAGGACATTGGACGCTTCCTCGTACTGTGTTAATGCTGGTATCCCTCCTTCTCAAGTTCGGGGTATTATTGCTGTACCTCATCTTCAAATGGGTGTTTGAAAAATCCACCGAACTGTGCTTAGAAGGATCTGGGATCGCCTGATGCTTCTCCCGCCCACAACTTCAGTCAACAACTGATTTTTATATTCGGTGTCACCTTAAGCTTCAAAGCAGACTTGAAGCTCCATACCTGTGTGCAATTTTTTTTTGAAATAATGCCTGAGGGGGGGAAAAGGCATTACAGGTATTATGGGAATTAAAGGTTTAAAAAGGTTTGGAAAAGAAACAAATCTGTTTTTTGAAAAAGTGTGTATTTTAGTGTTTTTATACAAAACAATTGAAATGCATTATCAAAGGAGTTCCCAGAGGGCATTTTGAAACTCACATATATCTGTTGGTCCACAGAAAGGAAGCAATTAGGTTTGGATTAAAAATTCCACAATCAAAAATACATATATAATTTGCTGGATTATGTCTATGTATGAGTATTTGCCTGTGTGTATGCATTTGCTCAACCTGATGTCTGGCACCTGCAGGGGCAGAAGAGAGGCTACTGGATAGATTGGAACTCGAAGTATTGATAGCTGTGAGTGCCATGTGGGATCTGAAAATTGAACCTGGGTCATCAACAAGAGCAGCAAGTACTCTTAGCCACTGAACCTTCACCCCAGATCACACTGAACAATTGTTTAAGTGTTTGCTAGTCATTTGTGTTTCTGGTTTTGACATTTTCAAAATGTATCTATTTTATTTTATTTTCTTTTTATTTATTCTTCTTTCAACAGTGAATCTAAACCTCAGCGTCTTGTAAACTCTACTCCTCTCAGCCCCTTCCCCACCTCCCCTCTCTTCTTGCTCTACTGCTCTTGTTTCCCTTCAAAAAAGAGCAGGCCTCCCAGATAACCGAACTTGGCATAACAAGACAGAGTAAGACCAGGCACAAGCCTCCTATCAAGGCTGGATGAAGCCACGCTGGGTGAGGAAAAGATCCCGAGAGCAAGCAAAAGAGTTGAGTCACCCCCAACTCCCACTTTTAGGAGTCCTATAAGATCTCTGTGAGTTCGAGACCAGCCTGGTCTACAGAGCTAGTTCCAGGACAGGCTCCAAAGCCACAAAGAAACCCTGTCTTGAAAAACAAAAAAACAAAAATTATAATGAAAAATTATAAAGGAGTCCTATAAGAACCCCAAGCTGAAAAACCAAACTGCATACAGAAGGCCTAGTGAAGACCCTTGCAGGCTCCATGATGACTGCATCAGTTTCTGTGGGCCTCTATGAGACCTGTGTAGCTGATTCTGTGGTCTGTGTTCTTTTGGTGTCCTCCACTCTTCCAGCTTCTAAAATTCTTCCGCCCCCCTTCACAGCAGTAACACTGCCTAGTGTTTGACTGTGAATCGCTACATTGGCTCCTATCAGCTGCTAAAGGAAGCGTCCCTAATAGTGAATGGGCTAGGCACAGATCTATGAGTGTAGCAGAATATCGTTAAGAATTATTTCATTGATTTTCGATGGGGAAGTGTCAATTGTGTTGGTTCTATCCTAGGTCTAGTGCTGTCCATCTTCCAGTGCCTGACCATCCCGGCAGTGTCAGACATGGTTTGCCTCTCCCGCCATGCTCTCAAGTTAGACTAGCCATTGGTTAACCACTCCCACAAGCTCTGAGCCACCATTGCCACAGGCCATCTTCTAGGCAGAAGAGGTATGATGGAAGGTTTTGTGACTGGATTAGTGTCCCAGTTCCACCACTGGGAGCCTTGCCTGGTTGCAGAAGATGGCCTGTTCGGGTCCACACCCTCCTTTACTAAGAGTCCGTGCTAGAGCTACCCCCATAGGTTCCAGGCCATCTCTACTCTACTAGGTTTCCACATCGACCCCTAAATGGCCCCTTATTCCAGCCATCTCACCCTGTGCTCTCTCCCTCTGTCTATTTTATTTTAATTAAAATATAATTACATAAATTTTTCCTTTTCTGCCTTTAACCCCTTCCATGTTCCAGTTCCCTAGCTCCTACTCAAAGCCATGGCCTTTTTAAAATGTAATATATATATATATATATATATATATATAATTCATAAATATGTAAATACAGCCTGTTTAGTCCTTTGCATGCTTCTTGCAGGTATAATGTCAGGACTCATCTCTTGGTGTTGGGTAGTCAGTTAGGGATATTATAGCTGAGGGAGACCCTTTCTCCCTGCCTCAACATTCCTTGTTTGCCTGTATTTCTTTGTCTGGGATTGGGGCCCAAAAGATTTCCCCCTTTCAAAATAGCAGAGGCACAGACTCAGAGTGGAGCACTGAGCTGAGCTCTCAAATTCCAGCTGAAGAGTGGGAGGAGTGAGAATATGAGTAAAGAGGTCAAGATCGTGATGGGGACATTCACTGAAACAGTCTACCTGAGCTAATGGGAGCTCACCAACTCTCCCCTGGAGAGGGAAGGAACCAGCATAGGACCAAACTCGACCCTCTGAATGTGGGTGACAGGTGTATGGCTGGGGCAGATTGTGTGGCTACTGGTGATAGCAGCAATATTTATCCCTACTGCTTGTACTGGCTTTTTGGGAACCTGTTATGATGAGAAACGGTAGATTGTGTACTGCTGTGCGGCTGGCTTATACCCTGAAATAACAACACACAAATTGTATTTATTTAAACACTGTCTGTCTGGCTCATTAGTTCTAACCTCTTATTGGCTAACTCTTACATATTTGTTTAACCCATCTCCATTAATGTGTATCGCCACTTGACTGTGGCTTACCAGCATGAGTCTAACCAGCATTCATCTCAGAGAGGAGAGCCATGGCGTCTGCCACACTGCCTTCTTCTTCTCAGAATTCTGTTTTGTTCACTCCACCCACCTAAGGGCTTACCTATCAAAAGGCCAAGGCAACTTCTTTATTTAATCAATGAAAGTAACACATAGACAGAAGATCCTCCTACACCAGGAACCCTTCTCTTTGGATGGATACCTTTCTCAGTCTAGATATAGTAGGAAGGGCCTTGGACCTTCCCAAAATAAATGTACCCTACCCTCTCTGAGGAGTGAATGGAGGATGGGGTGGAGGGGAAGGTGGAAGGAATGAGAAGAGGGGAGGGAGTGGAAACTGGGATTCGTATGTAAAATGAAAAATGTTTTCTTTTAAAAATGTTAAAGTGGCATGTCTATTAGTATTAATGTTCAGATCCTATTTAGGCAATATTATTGCTGAGGTGTCATGGGTATAGCTTCCCTGTGGTTTCAGGAATCTCAGACAGGGTCCAAGGGCAGTTTGTTATCCATATGTCTATTGCAATCTTTTCAGTTCCTCTTCTAGGATATTTCCTAAGCCTTAGCAGCAAGTGTTTTGTTGGAGATGTATATATTTGTTGCAAGGAGGCCACGTGTTGGTTCCTGGGCACCTGGCTAGTGTAGACCCGAAATAATCACATAGAAACTGTATTCATTAAATCTCTGCTTGGCCCATTAGCTCTAGCTTCTTATTGGATAATTCTTATATTAATTTAACCCATTTCTATTGATCTGTATATTGCCATGTGGCTGTGGCTTACCGGGTAAAGTTCCCAGTATCTATCTCTAGCATCTCCTTGGCTTCTCTCTGACTCAGCCTTCCTTTCTCCCAGCATTCAGTTTAGTTTTCCATGCCTACCTAAATTATGTCCTGCTATAGGTCTAAAGCAGTTTCTTTATTAATTAATAGTAATTACATCATACAGAGGGAAATCCCACATCATACATTGAGTCAGGGCACCCGAAATTCAGTTATCCTCTATGTTTTGACTCATTGTAGTTTTCTGTAATGGTCTCTGCTAAAATGAGAAGGGTGAGAGCTACACTAGCCAAAGGTTACTGTCAGGTTTTAGAATGCCTTAGGAATTGTGTTGGATTAATAAACAGCACTAGTAGATTTTTCTGTAAGATCCAAATCCTCAACAATCCCAGGATTTCCCTTCTGCTTACTGAACATTAAGTTCAATTAGACTGCTATTGATTGTCACCATGATTTGAATGCCCCTATTTCATCTTTTAGAGACATCTTACCATGTTGGTCCTTGATGTAGTTTATAGGTGTCCCAACTGAGTATGGACATTGCATTTCTCCCTCCCTTAGCAACTTATATAGCATCTCCTTATGGTCTGAAGGCCAATAATCATAGAGCAGGCTT